GGGGGGATGCTAGTGGAGTGCACGCGTCTCAAACAAGCCTAGCCAAAATTGCGGCGCGACTTGGTGGGCGGTACCCTGGATTGGAAAGAAATCTCTGCGTGAGAAATACAAGGTGTGGCGTGTGGGCGCGTGAATGGAGTGCAATGCGTGAGAGCTCTGTATATATATATATAAAATGTTTTGGCTCTATGAAACCTAATGTACTTATATGATTCTGTTTTCTTCTAGTTTGTATCTTCTTGGTCGAATGCACTTGTTGTAAGTCGCTTCGGATAAAAGCGTCAGCTAAATGAAATGTAGTAATATATCGGTCACAATATGGAAAATGTTCGGCATTGCTTTGTGAGATAACGTTAAAGGCAACAGCGCCCTCACCTGGACGACTTGTGTAATACATATCAATGATAAGACATGTAGGGATTGTTTTAATGTGACATATATATTGGTCTAAAGGCACAACTCCTCCTACTGACTTAACATGTCTGTATGTTGGAAACAGTAAACTATCTCATGAAGACTTAAATGAGATTATAATTACTGATAATAAAAGTCCACATCTGTTATTGCTGTTATTTTTCAAGGATTTTGATGGAAGCATCATCTTGTGATTTGGAGATACTTGGAAACCACCTAAGATGTAAATAACTTTATTATGAAACAGTCATGATGTTGATGTGTGTAGGATGACGATCTGTCTCAGTGGTTTACAGCAAACAGGAGCATAAGCAGGAAGTGACACTGCGGGCGTATTTAAGACCATGTGTGAACTAACAAAATGGAGAACAGCTATTTTTTTTAAAAGGCATTAATTCACACAAAATTAAAAGCACTCACCTCATACACAATGATCCCGTTACTTTATATAATGTGGAATAAAGCACTCAAAACACCTGCTTTTGGCCAGGAGACACAGGTTAGAAGGAGGAAGTTCTCCTGCTGACGCTAGAGGCTAATCCAAGTTGGACAAAAGGCTTTGAAATCTGAATCTCTAATTATCGTCCCCAGAGTTCCACTTTTCATCCAGCTGACGGCTTTGCTGAACATCCATGCTCCTTTCTGCCCTTTAGTTCCACTTGTAAGATGCTACATCTTTTGGCAAAGGACCAAAAAACTGAGGTAGATTAACAGAAGAAGGCATTATTAACTTTCTTTAACCTCATGCATCTCCCTCATGATCTGAAGGACTCAAAATCAGCAGCACGTCGACCACAAACCAGCCAAATCCAGCAGGGATAAAACTGATTTTCGCCATTAAATGTCATCGAGACATTTCAGTTGTATTTCTGAGGTGAAACACACAGGCAGGGGTTACACCAGGAGCTCTGTGATTGGCCAGGTGGCGTCAGGAGCTCTGGGATTGGCTCCGTGGCGTCAGGAGCTGTGTGATTGGCCAGGTGGCGTCAGGAGCTCTGTGATTGGCCAGGTGGCGTCAGGAGCTGTGTGATTGGCCAGGTGGCGTCAGGAGCTCTGGGATTGGCCAGGTGGCGTCAGGAGCTGTGTGATTGGCCAGGTGGCGTCAGGAGCTCTGGGATTGGCCAGGTGGCGTCAGGAGCTCTGTGATTGGCCAGGTGGCGTCAGGAGCTCTGTGATTGGCCGGGCTTGGTGAATTTGCTCTGCAGGAACACTCTGGGGACACAAAGCCCCTCCTTCTTGTTGACCGTCTCTCTCAGGACGTAGTCGTTAGAAACGGACTGGAGGCCGGCGTCCGCAAACAGCTCGGACAGGAACTCTGAAATCAAGCGGAGAAATCAGACGTTAGACTTTAGAAGAAGAAAAAACTAAAAATCCATCCATCTATCTATCTACCCATCCATCTATCTATCTATCTATCCATCTATCTATCTACCCATCAATCCATCTATCCATCTATCTACCCATCAATCTATCTATCTATCTATCTATCTATCTACCCATCAATCCATCCATCCATCTATCTATCTACCCATCAATCTATCTACCTATCCATCTATCTATCTATCTATCTATCTATCAATCAATCTACCTATCAATCCATCCATCCATCCATCTATCTATCTATCAATCTATCTATCTACCCATCAATCCATCCATCTATCTATCAATCTATCTACCCATCAATCTATTTATCTATCCATCGATCTACCTACCTACCTATCTATCCATTTATCTATCTACCCATCAATCTATCTATCTATCCATCTATCTATATCTATCTACCCATCTACCCTGCGGAGGCATCGTTCTTCACCTTTAGAGAAGAAGTATGATCTGGTTCCATCTTGCCGGACGTAGAAGTTTTCCCCCAGCTTGCTGCCGGCTTTAAACCTCAGCATGGCGTGATCGTTCAGTCCGTAGTCTCTGAAGAGCACCATGCCTCCGGGCTTCAGCACCTGAAAGCCAAACACACACATTTGAAATAAATACATAATAAATTCAAAGTGTTTCTCAAATGACTAGAGGTGGCAACAGCGACACACAGTTAATGAGTGCGTAAACAATGTTAGATACATGGAACAGTGTAAATAATTAACTTGTGTTTAATGTTGAATTCATGTTAAACTTGAAACTATAGTTACTGTAAAAAGCCTTAACGTTTCCAGAATAGTCCCTAACATAAAGTAACTAAGTACATTTACTCAAGTACTGTATTTTACCATTTTGAGATACTTGTACTTTACTTGAGTATTTCCATGTTATGCTACTTTTGTACTTCTACTCCACTATAGTTCAGAGGTAAATGGTGTACTTTTAGTCCTCCTAACAAAAGGACAATTAGGTCACAATATTGGAGATTCTCAGTGTTGCTTTGTGAGATAACGTTGAAGCCAACAGCGCCCTCACCTGGATGACTTGTGTAATAACAAACTGAAAATATATGACATTTAGGGATTGTTTTAATGTGGTGTATACTAAATATATATTGGTCTAACTACTACCGCCTTTTATGTTCTGCTTTCCATTTGACTTTCTCCCCATACTTTGCTTTTTTAAACGTCTTCTTTTATACTGTTTTTCATCAATATATTACAGGTCTCAGATATATACAGAAAGTCTCTGATTGGCTGAAACACCAAACAGATCATTGCAGCATTACCCATAATCCCCTCTGTTTCAGCCCTGTTTCCAAAGTGCTGATTCTCTGTCTGTTACTTTAGATGAAAATAAGGAGCCCCTCCCCACGCCCCTCTGAGAGACATTTGGTTACAAAGAACTCAATGGAGCTCTAGGAGGAGATTCAGGTGATAAGGGGTGGGGGGGGGTTACCTTGGTTGCTGATTGGCTAATGGTTACACAAGACAAAACATCGTTATGACATCATAAAGTGGCCAAAATCTGATCAGCTCATTTTCAGACAGGTTTTTATAGAAATGGATCAAAAAGAGAGAGAATCTTTGTTCCTGAAACTTTCAGAGTCTCTTTACACAGAGGGGACACATGTTGATGTAGAAGAGACATGAAGAAGAGGGGACACATGTTGATGTAGAAGAGACATGAAGAAGAGGGGACACATGTTGATGTAGAAGAGACATGAAGAAGAGGGGACACATGTTGATGTAGAAGAGAC